CCCCTTACTCTGCTGCTCAGACCAGCGTGCCGGGGAGGAGAAGCAGGGGGAGGAGCTCCAGACTGCCGATGCGAACGGCCAGCTGGTGATCTGCGAATGCAGGGAGGGAGGGAGTGCTCTCAGCTGCAGGGGAGAGGAGGGGGAAGTGGAGGAGGGGCTCTCTCTGGCTGTCAGAGCCCCATGTAAGTGGCACCATCCATCCAGCTGCCCTGTTAGCCGCGCGTGCTCTGCGGGGGGGGGTGTGGGGGGTGTGGAGTCCGGACATTTACAAATTCCCCCCGGACGCTATTTTTAACTCTAAAAGCCGGACATGTCCGGGGGAATCCGGACAAATGGTAACCCTAGTATTGCTGGAGCTGGGCCCCTGGCTCTGAATATTGCTGGTGCCCAAGCACCACGTGGATCGGCATTTAGGTGCCCCAAACACTAGGTGCCCTAGGCGGCTGCCTAGTTTGCCTAAATGGTTGCACTGGCCCTGGGTCTAATTCCTTGATGAGCTAGCTGAGCAGAGTCTGAGGGGAGGCACATCACATGGCTTTGCTAGGACTACTGTTTGTTTTAAACTTGATGCATTATGAACATTTTCAATGTCATAATTCAGTTTTGAAGATTTATTCACAATATGCCATCCATGGCACTGTGCCCTAAACTTACCTTGATTATCTTTTGATGGATTCATTTGTGGTTTTTATCCAGTCCACTGGTGTCTAGGTGGCATGGGCTGCTGACATGTACCCAGAAACATCCACGACAATGTTTTTGCCCCATCAGGCATTGGGATCTCAACCCAGAATTCCAATGGGTGACAGAGACTGCGGGAACTGTGGGATAGCTACCCACAGTGCAACGCTCCGGAAGTCGACGCTAGCTTCAGTACTGTGGATGCACTCCACCGAGTTAATGGTCTTAATGGTCTTAAGTGGGGACACACACAATCGACTATATAAAATCGATTTCTAAAAAATCGACTTCTATAAATTCACCCTAATTTCATAGTATAGACATACCCTCAGGAGCCTCAGGATTTCTTATTCCTGTTCTTTGTTCTCGCCACTTCACAGTCTCCCCTTCTCCCAGAACTAGCTACAACAACTCTTAGCTGCTTCATTCCCTTCAACTTTATCCCAACCTCAGCTGCTGCATCTCTCACTGGGACAGGGACTTTCTGAAGCTGGAAGGAGCCAGCCCCAGACTCTGCACAGAGTGTTTGGGGGAAGAGCTGGTGTTAACCCTTTGCTGGACCTGGCTCTGTCTCCCCTGGCCCCCGGGCTGTGCCACTGTGGGTGACTCACTGCTGTTCAGCACAGGGCCTGCTGGAAACGACAGGAAGGAAATGCCCCAGCTCCAGCTAAACAGGCTTCTCTGCACTCAGAAAAGTGAAACTAAATTTCAGCGGCTGGTTCCCCTGTGCAGAGGGGCCATGGCTGCCGGGGACCTGGCCGGGAGCTTCCAGGACAAAGTGACTTGCTCCATCTGCCTGGAGTATTTCACAGACCCAGTGACTATTGAGTGTGGGCACAACTTCTGCCGGGACTGCATCAGCCAGTGCTGGGGGGAGTCGGAGCCAAACTTCTCCTGCCCCCAGTGCAGAGAAACCGCCCAGCAGAGAAACCTGCGGCCCAACAGGCAGCTGGGGAACATGGTGGAGTTAGTGAAATGCCTGAGGCTCCAGGCAGTGACAGAGCCCGAGGGGCAGCGAGTGTGTGAGCGGCACCAGGAGGCTCTGAAACTGTTCTGTGGGGAGGATCAAACCCCCATCTGCGTGGTGTGTGATAAATCCAAGGCTCACAGATCTCACACGGTGGTTCCCATTGAGGAGGCTGCTCAGGAGTACAAGGTAGGGAATAATTATCTCCATGGCTGGGAGTTACAGGGGTAGCTTCTCTGTAGCTACAGAGCCCCGGCGTGTGTCTGAGCATCTCTGGATTAAAGCCAGTCAGCTGCCTGATAATGGGACACAGCCATGTTCCTGGAGCTGATGGTACTGGGGAGGGACTAGGCCGGGCCAGGACAAGCAGCTCTACCCGGGGAGTCTCCTTGGAGCAGGGGTCACTTTTTTAGTGGTTGGAGAAGCCTCACTCTGCTCAGTGACGAAGTTATCGCTGGGCACAAACCAATTAGGTTTACCATATTTCCACAATCAAAAAAGAGGACACTGGGCGGGAGCCCCGCCCTAGCCCCGCCCCCATCCACTCCCTCCCACTTCCCACCCCCTGACTCCCCCCCTCAGAACGCCCAACCCCCCCTGCTTCTTGTCCCCTGACTGCCCCCTCCTGAGAACCCCCCACGCTAACTGCCCCCCCTAGGACCCTACCTGTCCCCTGACTGCCCTGACCCTTATCTACTTCATGGGTGGCAGGTTTGTAGAAATTTTGGTGGTGCCCAGAACGCGCCCCCTCACCTGCCTAAGGCTCTGGGAGGGGGGCTGGGTGGGGGG